CCTAACTTGTGTGAATAATACCGAAGACTCAGTCGCAGTGCTTGTCCCTGTTGAACGATTCTCTCCAGTGGGCAGTGAAATGCCAGCGCTGGTAATTCCACATTAATATGGCGGGTACCGGCCTCTATACATTTCTTTTCCCCACTTAATTCAGATAATTCCAGCTGTGAGGGATTAAATGTTAAGAGTTGGTTTGCCATACTATGAAGTGGTACCTGCCACCTATTGCCGTTATAATTCCAATTGTTTCACCCGGGGAAAACCTCGCAAGCGTCCACTTCAGGTGCGTCCTGTGCCGGGAAGTTTGGCCGACTTCCATGATTGAGGGAGGGTTCGTCGTGTGGCAGGAAACCGGAGCGTGCGCGAGTGCGACGCTCATCACCCCCACACTGCCACCTCCTCGCCGTCTCGCAGCCCCATGCCGGCAACACGTGGCGAGCCCTGGTGGTCACCCGTTCAACCAGGCTCCAAGCCAAGTTGAGCCTCTATAGAGCCGATGAGATGGGATGCATTGAGGATGTCTTTGTTAAAGTTGTACCAGCAATCGCATGAGCTGCAGTCGTTGGCTGTTCGGAACAGGTCCTCTGAGCCAAGTGAGCAAATCGAGCCTAAGCCTCAAGTTTTTAACCTTGGCTATTGAACGGACACTATTAAATTCATGGCACATGGGAAGCTATTTAACTTCTCGCGAGTGATCGGGCGCTTGAACCTTAGCCCGCAAAATTGCCGGCTCAGCAGCCTTGACACGGAGACAGTCCCCTGCCTCTGAGACTCACGGCCACCTTTGCAAATCCGCGTTGGGTAATCATTTCCGTTCGGTGTCGTATTCCGTTCTGCTTTTCGAATAACGGCGGCGTTGTGACGAACCTTCCGCTCCTTTCCCAGCCGCGGCAGCTGCGCGCTCGCTTATCTCCCTCCCGTGGGAACTTGCCGCACGCGAGGGAGGGCCGTGAGGTTCGCGAGACTCTCCGCCGGGGACGCGCCAGTCCCGAACGGCACGGCACCTCGGTTAGACTCCCCCCATCCACGCCGCGGGTGTTGCACTCGCCGCCTGCGAACGCAGGCGGCAGGATCGGCAGAGACCGTGGCCTGGCACTGAGTGGAGCTATGGCGCGGCGTAGATGTTTTTGTTTTACTTCATGTTGTTGTAGGTGTTACCACGCTTCCTAGCTATGCTTTGGCACTAGAGTTTGTATAGGTGTCTCAAATCGCCTCGTTGGGAAGGCTGCGAGTTGAAATCCTGGCAAAGCGTCATCTCTGTGAAGGATCGTAATCTGTGGTTGTCAATCATTCTTCACGGAGCGAGAAGGGGCGTCCTCTAGCGTCGGGTGAGAGGGGCTGTCGAAGCAACTCTGGCAGTAGTTCTGCAGTGTCTTCTTCATGGGCCGTGACCCGGCATTCAGCTCTGCCGCTCACAGCGTTATTGTTAAGGGCTCCTCCTCACCATCTTCCTCGCCGTCATCCCATGCCGTGACACTGATATCACAACTGGGGACCACATTTAGGGCTAAAATATTTTTTTCTGAACAAACTATAGACGTCCATGTAGCCAGTAGCCTGGACCCAAACATTCACACTTGCTACGCGGCCTCGATCGGCCACGCGCAGGAAGGAGACGAAATTCGGGTACTTGCGAGTCCTCTCGATCTGGGCCACACCGCTACGAGCACAGCACGTAATTTAGTTTTCAAGTTTGGCGATTATGTAGTGGTGCTGGTGGGGATGCTACTAGAGGTTGGTGGTGCTGGTCGGGGTAATGGTAGAGGGGTGCTGGTGCTGGGTGTGGGTGGTTTCTGATGATGGCCTAATTGGGGTGGATTGAGTCGTTAGCATTTGACGAATTGTTTCTAGTGCGCAATAGGAATTGGTATGCAGATTGTCTCAGTGAAGAGAATTGCGTTTTCCCAATGCGTGAAAACCCCATTCAGGGGGCCTAACACTCAGCCCAATGTGATTGATTAAACCTGTTGTAAAGAATAATACCCCGCGAATGTGAATAAGGCTTTTGAAACACGGAAGCCTCGCATGGGTAATTGTTTCCTGAAATTCCTACATGTGTGAATGGGGCAGTGTGGAATGCTAATCACTGTTTTTAACATTTTTGTGATGCCACATGTTCAGAGACACGCGTGAGTCATCAAACCACAACCACTCGGCGTTTGCCACACGCCTCACGCATGAGATGCACGTGCCCAGACCAGGAATTCACTCTCCATCTGCATGCGTTTGTCTGTAAATTCATCAACTTCACTCTACTGAGTCCCCCATCCATGCTGAGGACTCTGTCTAACGGAAACTTGACTGTTTCATCTCAATCACCCCCACTGCACAATACAAAAATTCCCTCTCACTCACCCACTCAACCACGCATGCACTCACTCGCCCACCCACTCACCCATGCATGCACTCACCCACTCGCCCACGCATGCACTCGCTCACCTACTCACCCATGCATGCACTTACTCACCCACTCGCCCACGCATGCACTCGCTCACCTACTCACCCATGCATGCACTTATTCACCCACTCGCCCACGCATGCACTCACTTACCCACCCACTCACCCATGCATGCACTCACCCACTCGCTCACGCATGCACTCGCTCACCCACTTACCCATGCATGCATGCACTCACCCACCCACTCACCCATGAATGCACTCACTCACCCACCCACTCACCCATGCATGCACTCACCCAGCGTCCTTCACGAGCCTTCACCGTATAACCACACACAAAGACAAAGATCCCCCGTGTAGCCTTAACAGACTGTAGGGGCAAGTGCTGTTAGCGAGCACCTATGAAGGCCGGCACGGCACACGAGGGGGGTGGGTGGCCAACACCACGCCCGGCCGCCTTTGTCTCCCCAGTGGCGATGTTTACACACCGCACCAGGTACTCATTTGAGGCTGAGTCGACCTACGGGAGGCCCAGGACCGGTTCAGACAATCGTCACCGGTGTTGGCCGTGAGCGTGAATCGAACCCGGGTCGCCAGGTTCGAAGTGCAGCGTAGCGCTAACCGCTACACCACCGCTCCCCCACACATAACCACACACGTACACTCGCGCAAAAAACGCACGCACATAAACCCGTGTACGGGTTTTTTGCCGACGGGAAAGCCGACGTGGGATTCGGGGCATGGTCGTCAGGGACGGATCCAGCCACCGCTGCCGGCGAGATGAAACAAGAGGAGGGGGGGGGGGGGCATTCGTTGCCAGGTAGGCAGCGCTAGCGGGCTGGCAGGAAACGGGCACACGAGGAACGAGACGAAGAGACGGGTGCTGGGCCGTGGCCACCGTCACGGCGCTGCCAGGGCCCCGTCGTTTCGCTGGCGAGCCGCGCGACATCGTGCCTGCTGTGTCTTCCATACTCTTGGGTCTTTCATGCTTGAGGGCCGTCGTGTAAAGTAAAAAAAAACCTTTGTGTGTGTGTGTGTGTGCGTATTCAGATAAAGAGTAGTAACAATATCAACAACGTCGTGAAGCTCTTTAGCAATTCACGACTGGATGAAGGGCCCCTCCCATGCCACGTTGGTCGTAGGGCTGTTTGACCATACTTCACCAGGCTGGTCACCGCGGGTTGGTGACGAGGGCACCCAGGACCGGTTCGGGTATCGCTCGCCGCTGATGCTAGCCGTACAATGCGCTAACCGCTGTGCCACCGCTCCCCACCGATAATAATATCGATATGAAATTGGCCGAAGGGACGGAGGTGAGAACCGCGTGTCGCTGGGCAGCGTGAGAGATTCAATTCAAACCTCGCGTTGGCCGAGCACAGTTGGCTCAAAATGCCAATCGGCCAGCAGCAAAAGCAGCACGATTAACGTTGTAGTAGAAAAGGGCTTCACGTGTTTCTTTACTTGAACGAGGTTGTTGTTGTTGTGACTGCGAGAGCTGGGAAAAGAGACGAGGGAGGGAAGGAGGATTCTCAAGTGTAGTGGTGCGAGGGAGCGTGCAGGGAGAAAGAGGGTCTCTCCGAGTCTCTGTGAGTGCACGATTTTTTATGTTAATCTATAGATCGCTGTCTGAGCCTAAAGGTCTATGCGAGTCGATGGGCCTCGGTATGAATCTTAAGGGTCAATTCATCGTACGGCTGATGTCGATGAAGAGCAACAACTGTAATTTGACTTGGAGGTTGTGAATGAGGCAGGCAGATCATCGCGTCTAGGAGTAGCGGAGTGGTGCATCGCTGTGACGATGCCTCCCCCTTCGTGTCTGTGAGTCGTTGCGTGTTTCCCTCCCGCGCAGTGACCGCAGTTGCACACTGAACGGAAAGTTTTATTTTATTTTATTTTCCGCGTGTGCGTCATCGTCAGGTTAGCCGTATGCCACGGTTTGTGCCGTCGGTGCGGTTCAGGTTCGTGGCCGTCAGCCCCGCGGAAGATCAAGGCCAGAGATCTTCTTCGCGAGGTGTCTGTGTCTTTGCAAGCACCATCAGGGTTTGGCGAAGTGCTGTGACCTGCAGTGCGGCGGTTGACCTCTGTGTGGGTGAGGTGGGCAATTGGGAGAGCAGCCGGGGGGAAGGGCGTAGGGACTAAAGCCTACCTGAGGCCCGTGTCAGCCTTTGTCTCGCCTCTGTGGTCTCACTAAGCCCTCGGAGTCGTTTCACGGTTCGGTGCCTAGAGCGCTGTGTTTGAGTTTTACCACATTGCAGAAATAAAATGAGCAGAAGTATTCTTACCTCGGGGACAAGGAGTTTACGCGTGTTACTACTCAAAATCACCCCTAGAGCCAATAGTGGCAATTCTACATTCCCATGGCAGGAAAAAATATCTCTAAAGGGTGACTGCTGTTGGCGTCCCCCAAAGGAAGCAGAGAACTGAACCCAGGCCCCGCGTTACCATTGTACCACGCTGCTGCCCCAGTTGCTCGCTATAGTCGGTGCTGCAGCTGGTGTGGTTGTCAGTTGCTGCTGTTGTTGTGGTAGTTGTTGGAGGCGTGGCTCTGCTGGTGCTATTGAATTCTGCTGCTGCTGGTGCTGCTGGTGCGCCTGTCCCTGCAGCCCCGGAGATCCTGGCACAGAAGCCGTACGGGAAGGAGGTGGACTGCTGGTCTATCGGGGTCATCTCCTACATACTGTGAGCAGCACGGCTACGCACCACACACACACAATGGCAAAGATCCCCCGTATAGCCTTCGCAGACGTTTTGAGGCAAGTGCAATTGGCGAGCAACGCACCTATGAAGGCCGGCATGGCACGCGGGGGGGGTGGGGGGTGGCAAGCACCACGCCCGCCCGCCTTTATCTCCCTAGTGTCGATGTTTAGACATCGTACCAGGTACTCATTTCAGGCTGAGGCAACCTCGGAGAGCCCCAGGAACAGGTTCAGGAAATCGTCACTCGTATTGGTCGCGAGCGGGAATCGAACTTGGGTTGCCGGGTTCGTAGTGCGGCTGACCAACAGCTGCGCTACTGCTCCCCGCGGATACACACTCACACGCGCAGACGCGCACAGACGCCACAGATATGCGCGCGCAGACAAAGACACACAGACAGACGCCCACAGAGAGGTTCCGTGGTGGTAATGCAACTTAATGTAGCTGCCCCAAAGTGTTTGCAACCACCTGTTATGGTTCCTTGGCATCTCCACTCAGCCATCTCTCTCTCTCTCTCCTCATTTAAACCGACTCTCTTAAAATCACTGAGGTTTAAGCGTGAATGAAATCTCACGACATTGTTGCTGTTGCCAAAGAAGATGCTTTTGTCCATGTGTAATTTGGGAATGCTTTGATGCTGCCCGCCGGCAGAGCCGCTCTTGGCAAAGAGCTTCTGAGCTCGGTGGGCTTCACCGGGAAACTCACTCCTGGTTCCGATCGTTCAGAATGGGCGCCACGGTAGCTAGGAGATGTTAACTACCTCGCCTGATATACAGGAGGTCGTGGGTTCGATCCCGACCCTGACACCTGTATATTTGGAGTTTGCGTGTTTCTCTCCGGGGTCCTCCGGTTTTCCCCTCCACATTGAGAACCACAACGCGCTTAGAGTATTTTGGCTGCTAATGCATTTCCACGTGGTAAGCCGCTTCGTTGAGCTATCATTTGTGATAGCCAGGTCGCTTTCTGAAAAAACGCTACATAGCTCAGTGGGGCCCTACCCTGGTAAAATAAAAAAATATTTGTTACAGTTGAATAGTTCGTAACGCCGCGTCGCTCGTAACGCCGCGTTGTTGTTGTTGTTGCCGCCCTTGCCGTCCGCGCTGGTGTGGAAACAGCCTGTGCGGGTACCCGCCCTTCTACGATGAAAACGACGCGACGCTGTTCGAGCAGATCCTGAAGGCCGAGTACGAGTTCGACTCCCCGTACTGGGACGACATCTCCGACTCAGGTGCCGTGACGCTGCGCTCGGTTCTAGTTGACAGACGCGGGGGCGGCAAGTCGCCCCCCCCCCCACCCCCCCCCCCCACCCCCCCCCCCCCCGCTCCCCCCGCGGGCACCGCGGCGGGGAGGAGGCTGCGACGGTGGCGGAACGGTCGGCGGCGTGGAAGATGAAACGGGGGGGGGGCGAGTTTCCGCAAGGCCCTCGCGTCGCCTCTGTCCGCCCACCCAGCAAGCGCGGATGTGTTCGCGCAGCGGTGGGGTAAAGCGTGTGCACTCTCACCTCTTCCGAGACATCCAACCCGCGTGGAGGAGTAGGCCAAGTAGCGCTCGAGAACGCCCGCTAGTGGAGTTCCAGTCTTGCCCCTCGGGTCGCGGTGCAGCGGCGGTTTGTGAATCGGTGACGTTCAGCGCTCGAGGGCACCGTCGCTGTTGTTGTGTTTTCAGCCAAAGACTTCATTCAGCACTTGATGGAGAAGGAGCCGGCCAAGAGGTACACCTGCAGCCAGGCCCTCGAACACCCGTGGTGAGTCCGGCGCTCGCCGCGGTCTCGCGCTCTGCCGTGCCGCTCGGGCGAGCGCCCGTACGGTGCTTGGCCGCGCCGGTCGGCACGGCTCGGTGAAGGTCCGCCTCCGATGCCGCCCACCGCCGATGGCTTGCCGTGGCCGGGAGTCGGACGTGGGTCGCCTGGTTCGTACGGCAGCTCGTTAACCGCCGTACCGCCGCTCCACCCCTCTTGGTTTCATTCACGTTACGTTTCATATTCTTGGGAAGCTGGCCCAGGCCACTGCGTGTATTTTCTGCTGTATGCTTAAGCTGGGGTTGTCCGCTACGGACCAAAAGGGCAGATAGATATATTTCTCAGTTAGTCAGCACTCGGTATATGATCACGGCTGTGCGGTTTACTGGAGTGAAGTTCAGCACGGAAAGATCTCAGTACAAACCGATTCCTGCCACCCGACACAAATTCCCAGACCGTACGGGTCAAACACGGGCCGGGGTCGCCACCTGGCCAGGTGGCGACCCCGGCTGGGGCGGCGTCCGCTGGCGCGCGGGTGGAGCCGCGTGCTCGTTGGCACGGGGAGACGCCGACCGTGTGGCTCTTGCTTTGTGGTTGGCGCAGGATCGCGGGCGACACGGCCCTGGACAGGAACATTCACGAGTCCGTGAGCGAGCAGATCAAGAAGAACTTCGCCAAGAGCAAATGGAAGGTGGGAAAACGCGCAGCATTCGCGCGCTCAACCCGGCCGGAATCTCCTGTATTTCCCTGCCCCGACCCCCCCTCCCCCACCGCTCCCGGCCACCCCTCCTTACCCCGCGTGGATCTCCACCCTTGGGGAAGCCGTCTGCGGGATGCGCTCGATGCCGCATCGGCTGATCTTTTTTGCCGTGTAGCCCACTCGCCTCCGTCTTGTCTCTCTCCACCCCCGCATGGTAGCACACGGCGGGATGATTCTTCCACGCGCGTTTGGGCTCTCGCGCTCCGTGTTCTCTGCCGGCCCCGCTGTCGGTCACCTCTTGGCATTTCAGCCTGACGGCTGAAGTCACGAAACCACCTCGTTCCGAGCAGGACCCTCCTAACAAGGCCTCTTGAGACTCGGCGACGATTTTGTATTGATGGCGGCGGTGATGTCAGTGGTAAAGAATGCCACAGGTGAAAAGGATTTTGAAAGTTAAAGTGATTTCCTGCTCCAATGAGCATTGGGACGGTGCCTCTCTCCCATTTACAAGCGTGAGACAGTGGTTGAAATTCCACATTCCCATGACAGGGGCGAGTCTATCCATAGGACAGCCTCTGTTGACTTTCCTACAGCAGTGGCACTCGTGTTCATCGACCCTGGAGGAACGATGGGCTCAGTCCAACCCCACGACCCGGAGTTCAACTCAGGGCCTTTCCAATTGTGAGCCACTCGCTTTTCCACAAATCTACCAAGCCGGATAATCAAAACGAGAATCAGAATATGTATTTCTACTGGAGGAATCCGATGAGCTATAAAGCTCTTTTTCACAGACGTCCAGTCGGGGCGGGTAAGAACGTTACAACAAACAATACAAAAACACCACGGGAGTGCACAGTGCAAGAGAGGTAAACAAATCGCCCAAAGAACGCCGATGATGAAAGAGATGAAACAAATAATGATGAGCATGCCCATTATGATGATGATGAAGGTGACAATGCTGCTGTTTATGATATGATGCTGATGATAATACTGCTACTGCTGCTGATGATGACGATGATGCTACTGCTGCTGCCGATGATGCTGATGATGATGCTGCTGCTGCTGATGATAATGCTACTGCTGCTGATGATGACGCTGATGATGTTGCTGCTGCTACTGCTGCTGATGATGCTACTGCTGCTGCTGCTGCCGATGACGCTGATGATGATAATGATGATGTTGCTGCCGCTGCTGCTGCTTCTGCTGACGCTGCTGTCGCCGACGACTCTGCCTGCCGCTGACGCCTGAATCGTGTCGGCGCAGCAAGCCTTCAACGCCACGGCGGTGGTGCGGCACATGCGGAAGCTGCAACTGGGCTGCAGCCAGGATGGGCCAGTCCAGGCGGTGCTCCCTGCGGCGCCCTACAACGATAGCGCGCTGCACCCCGCCTGCTCCAGCAAAGGCAGTAGGTGGTGCTGTCTGCACTGAGCGTCCTTCCCCTCGGCGCGTTCCGCTCGCTCGCCCGCCCGCCCGCCCGCTCGCTCGCTCCCTTCGGTCGATCGGGGCGAGAGCCCCGGGGAGGACGCGGAGTGCCCGGGGGTGGGACGCAAGAGAGACGGGAGGGAGGGGGAAATCGCGCCGCGGGGAAGGGTCGCCCGCGAACTTGGCGTCGATGCAAAACCCGCAATGAGATTGTGAGCAAATCACAGAAACGTATCCTTTGGCGCGAGTGGAAGAGTAACACGGAGCGAAAGGCAGCGTACTGACGGACCGAGGTTGAGCGGCGGACGGACCGAGGTTGAGCGGCGGTCGACGCTTGCGGGCAGCCCGGCAGCCAGGCGGCAACACCGTGGCAAAGGGCGAGGAATCGTTCCGAGAAGAGCCGGTGTGCCGTGTTGGCGCGAACCACCGAGCAGAAATACGCCACATCGTTCCAGGTTCTAGAAGCGCCAGGATGCAGGAGCGGTTCTCGCTGAACCTGCCGTCGTTTCTCGGCAGAAGGTGCGGGAACTTGCTTGCGCGTCTCGGGTTGCGAGGGTGTCAATCCGGCGGAAGCACAGATTTACGCACGGAGGGACAGGAGGAGAAACGCCGTGGACTAGAGCACGTACTCTGCTGAGAGACATCGTGGGGGTGACTCCCCTGTGGTCGAGGCTAATGAGATGGTGGCGGCCGAGCGAGGGAATCCGACCGAGAGCACGTCCCCCACGGAGATGGAGTAGGGAACTCGGCTCATGCGCTGGGTGGATTGTTGCATTGTGGGAACGGGAGGGATGGTGACTGCTTGGTGAGATGGGGGGGGGGGGGGGAGGCCTTCATTTAGCAGTAGATCGCCATGGCTGATGATAAGCAAAGTAGTTACACTAAACGGTTATTGCCACCTTCAGCAGCATCATAAACAGTAGCAGCGCGCGTTATATTCCTCATGGCGGTTGTGTTAATGTCATCGACATCATCAATGTATTGTATCTTTCATTCACAATCCGCACACTGTATTCCTCGTCACTGTCATCGTCGTCTGTACAGTTTGCGAGCGTGAGGTTCACGGCCACCGCGGGCTTTTTCCCACGATGCCGTGCACCAGGAAGAGCGGTCACTCACGCAGACCTCTCTTCCTCACACCGCAAGCCGTGCTGAGCACTGAGCGCTTCAAAAATGTGGCGGCCGCATTTAAAAGGACGGAATCCACTCTTTTTTTTACTGGCATTCCAGAGCCGTGCCGGCGTGGGGGGCAGTCACGGGGCCGGTGGTTTTCCACCGGCTACTTGCCGAGCCGAGCCAGAACCAAGCCACGATCCTCTGGTTTGATCTGTGAATCCGGCTCAGAGTCAAGCACGGCCAGCGGTGGGGCTGACGACGGTGGCGGCTGCGGGCACCTTTTGCCAATGAGACTCTTCGTGGTCTCTCTCGAGCTATCTCTCGAGCTATCTCTCGCGTACTCTTTGGTTCTATTCGGTAAAGTCACGTAAAAGTATAAAACAACAATAAAACAACAACAGCGCTGTCCTCGAGACAGCCTGGTCCCTTCAACTGACGAAGGCCACTTGTGTTGTGGCCGAAACGTCGTGATTTTTTTATTTATTTATTTTAGATTTTTTGTTGTTTTATACTTTCACGCGACTTTACCGAATAGAACCAAAGAGTATGGATCCTCGCAGTCACGAAAGCTTCAAATCTATCTCTCGCGGTTGAACAAAATAACCTTGAGACCGGAAGCGGGTCCGGGGCACGCCGCGGGGGAGCGGCGTCTACGCGCGCCTCGCGTCGTTCGCCACTCGCGACGTTAAGCGGCGCGGCTCGGCCTCCGCGGTGGAAAAACAACCGGGCCCCTCCCGAGCCGTGCCGGAGCGGCACGGCGCCAGCACGGCTCGCTTGTGCAGTGGAAAAAAGAGTTAAAAGCGTCTCTCCATTCAGACGGGTGGAACACATCTCCAACTGACGCCAAGGCTTGCGGTGGAAATTACACGTTCGCACGGTAGGGACAAGTCGGCCCTTAATAATGATTTCTTACACAGTGGAACTTATTTTATGGACCACTGCGTGTAGGTGAGCCGTGGAGTGCTCCGACCACAGCCCCACCCAGTCGGATTGCACAACAAAGAAATAATAAATCCGTGTGTGCGCCCTCGAGGTTCATATCGCGTCGCTTCTGTGTTTTTTTTTTAATTCCTGAATTTTTTTTTTCCTGCCTGGCATCCATTCCACTGTTATCACGACACGGGGGGGGGGGGGGGGGGGTTAGTGGAGTGGCGGGACAGTGGTCGGCACGCCGGTGCCGTCAACTCGGCCGCCCCCAGGCTAATGTCGTTTGGCGGCTTCTGCCTGAACAGAACAGAAGGCCGCTCGCCCTCCACCGACCCGCGCTGTCCGGCGTGGCGAAGTATGGTCAAACAATTCCCAACATCGACATGGTGTGGAGAGAGTGCCAGCGTCCAGGGAGTGTGTTCGTGGAACGGTGTAAACGCTGTGTTAGTGGCATGGTGTCAACGCTCTGTGTGTGTCAGTGGAACGGTGTAAACGCTGTGTTAGTGGCATGGTGTGAACGCTCTGTGTGTGTCAGTGGAACGGTGTAAGCGCTGTGTTAGTGGCATGGTGTGAACGCTCTGTGTGTGTCAGTGGAACGGTGTAAACGCTGTGTTAGTGGCATGGTGTGAACGCTCTGTGTGTGTCAGTGGAACGGTGTAAACGCTGTGTTAGTGGCATGGTGTGAACGCTCTGTGTGTGTGTCAGTGGAACGGTGTAAACGTTGTCACCCTTGTCCACCGGGTAATTGCAGGAAGCGTTTTGCCGGGGCAGATGTAACCTGAGCCTCCACGCTCCGTCTTAATCACAGCCGATGGGGCCGATCCAGGGTCTCGCTTGATGGACGTGAAGTGGAGGAGCCACAGGGGCCTGTCCTGAGACTCCGCGTCAGATGGAGTGTGCCGAAGTGAGCGAGAAGCGACGCCGATAGCCAATTCGCTTATTCTCACTCCGGGGTCGTGGTTTCGAAAGTACAGAAATTAGAAATGACGGGACTGATGGGAGAGTCTGCATCCTGACCGGTTGCCGTGGTTCGTGCGGCAGAGGCCCGGAGCGAAACGGGGCCTCCTGACCGGCCCTCGTCCCACGCCTTTTCCCCCCTTCGTAGCCCCCAGCGCCCTGGGCCACTGTGGACTCTGTGATTGTCTTGGGGAGAAACTGGTTCCTGCCGTAGGAATGTGGAATTTACACCATTGGCTCCCGTTAGAGCAAAGAGAGATGATTCGACCTGACTTGGGAACCATGAAAGTGATCAAATTTTTAGCTTCCGCCAAATTTGAAAGTACGGAATCACGGAAGAGATTACGTTTATTTACTTTTAAATTAAAAATAAAAAGCCCCCTCCAGTCGTCGATCGTCGGAGAGTGACTCCGAAGTCGCCCTTCCAGCGCCGCCGCTGTCGAGCCACGCACAGACAAAGGTCCTCAGAGCGCCGCTACGATCGTCGCCCCGCTCGCTCCGAGGAGCCATCGCTGCCTGCGGTGTCACCGTCTCAGCGCCCGCGCTAGTCCACGTTCAGATCCCCCCTCGTGCCCCCCCCCTCGTGCCCCCCCCCTCGTGACCCCCCCTCGTGACCCCCCCCTTGTGCCCCCCCCCTCGTGACCCCCCCTCGTGACCCCCCTCGTGACCCCCCTCGTGCCCCCCCTCGTGCCCCCCCCTCGTGCCCCCCCTCGTGCTCCCCCTCGTGCCCCCATCGTGCCCCCATCGTGTCCCCCCCCCTCGTGCACCCCACACACAGGGAGGGGGGGGGCAGGCCCTGTGCTTCGGGGGGAGGCCACAGGACCCCAAGGCCACTTTGCTAATAAAATAAATAAATAAATAGCCCCCCCAGTAACATTTTTGCTTTGAAAGCCACGGCAAAGCTATTAGGGCAATTTCCCAAAACACGATAGATATATACACACACACACACTTTTGTTTGAGCGAAGGTTATGATTATCTCGTGAAACCTTGAAAGAGAAACAGGGCCCGGGTAAGTGCCGTGAACGGGGCCTCTGCTCACGTCGCTAAATTAAACCTCGTGCCGTGGCCGAGATGCCGATGGCGGCAGAAGCCGTTTAAAACAGTTTGCTTTGTAGTCGGTGGCTTTGCCACCCTGGACAGAATAACAAACTCGGGCCCGCAGACTGATTGGTGAAGCTTCAAGGCGTAGGATTTTTTGCCGGCCGCTTGGCAAATCAATCGCGCGGCGTAATAATCCGCGTCGACCACGGAGAATATAAGTAGCAAAATAGATAAGTGGACTAGACGCCTCCTTTCACACGTCTGCTACAAACGCGGCTCTCTGGGAGTGTGTAACCTCGGCAGCATTGATTCAGCACTGGCAAACTCTTGACCCGTTTTGGCATGCAGCGTCTCATCAGCAATGCTGGTGAGCTGCCCGATGTTTATGGGAATGGATCCTCTCTGTTAGATTTGGGTCATAATTCGACTCGATTATATTTGCGATGTTTATTTTTAAGAGAGATTTTGCAGCCTTGAGCCTGGACAGCGGTAGGGAGTCAACAGCACGGATCCCTCGGGTAAGAGGGCTCCAGACTGTGGGGGCAGCAGAGGAGAATGAGCGACCTCCCACTGAGCAAAGGTTTGACTGCCTTGATTGGAAAGCTTTATTTTCTGGAGCGAAGAGTGTGTGCAGGGGAGCGGGTGGAGAGTGCGTCGAGAGGGGGGGGGGGGGGATGAAAGTGAGATTAGAGTGAGAGGGTGGAACAGGAAGCTTGCACAAAGCCGTGGCGTAAAACACAATCCGCAACACAATCCACTCCTCGTGTCTCCTGCGCGCACACACACGGAGCAGTTCACGTCACCAGCTGATTGGCCCCGAGGCACTGGTGGACATTCCCCATTCCTATGACAGGGCCAGCCTCCTCGAAGGACGACCACACGGTTATCTCACAAAGCGGACCTCGTCATATCGACGCCGATTGGACGATGCGCTGGCCGCCCTCTCTGAGCGGGATTTGAACTCGAGCGCCTCCCACCGTGAGAGCGAAGCGCTCCGTCCGCTACGCCACCGGACGGTCGGGGGCGTTCCACCGGTGACTTGAGTGACGCGCCCCCCCCCCCCCCCCCCCCCCCCCCGGGCCGCCCCGCGGCGCCTGCGAGCTGCGAGGAGGAGGCCCCTTGACGAAAAGTAAATAGGCGGGCCCGGCGGCGGGGTCAAGGGGGCAATCGGCTTGGGGCGAACCGAGCGGCCTGCGAAGAGGGCCCCGCGGGCCGCGTGAGTGGCGGCCAACGCCAACGGCGCTCGCCGCTGGCCGCGTCCGACGCTCTCGGTGTGCTCAAGCTGGCTGATGCGTGGAACAAAGTGGCCACGCAAGGCTTGTAATTGTGTAATTGGGCCGCGCCTCCCTGCCCGCTTGTCTAGGCGCTTCGGCTCAGGCATGTGCGCAAGGGGGGCATGGGGGAATCGATACTCTTTGGTTTCTTCTTTCGGTAAAGTCGCGTAGGTACAAATATTGGGGAATCTACTCTGCTGCCCGCACGCGCGTGGTCGAGTGCGTGCGCGTGCGTGCGCAGACATGCGGAGCGGGAGTGCGATAGTTAGCGCACCGCCCTGTGAACCCTGTGACCAGAGTTCAATTGCCGCGCCAGACCAATAACAGCGGTGAATATTTGAATGGAGCTTGGCCCTCCCCCTAGGTCGACTCGGCCTCCATTGAGTATCTGGTGCGGTGTGTCAACATAATCGCAGGGGATACAAAAGGTGCCTGGGTATGGTGGAATCGCAAAACTACACGATCTCTCTCTCTCTCTCCTGAGGCCATCTCATCGTCGCCAGCGGTTTCCAATATTTGGCGTTTAGCTCCTAAACACATTGCTGCCATCGCGCGCACAAATGCATATTCTGGTCTGCAAAAACGACGTGACCAAAAAAAACACGTTTTTAAACATCGTTCTCGAACATTTAATCCTCCTCAAAGCCCTTTTGCGGGCTAAAGGGGCTTGCGGACCGTGACGAGCCCACAGAAACGCACGTCGATCATTGGCGTTCTCCTGCTCCGTTGGACCAGCCGTGGGGCCAGTCTGTCCGCAACACAACGGAAGTTTGTGATGATGATGATGGTCTGAGTTGATCCGAGAATGGGATGTGATCCCAAAAGCATGCGAGGCTCTTGGGCGCAGTTGCCGCTGTCATTGTGGGCTGCATTCTCCCCCACCCCACCCCCCACCACCACCCCCTAATGTTTGCAATCTGACCAAAAAAAATATTTCATAACCACTTGAAGTGGCCGCCCTACTTACGAACATACTTGTGCTAATTGTGACAAAGTGCGCTATCTCCCGTGTCGTGGCGTCATCGCCCGCGTGCCAGCGGACCCCGTCGCGCCTCACCGAGCGCGGTCCCGTCCGCGTAATCCGAGGGCGTTTAGGGATAAACCGCAGCGAGCTGGAAGAATTGCACATTCCTTGATTAATAACGCTCGCTAATGTTGCTATGACGCTGAGCGCGCTGTACCGAGGGTTTGCAATAAACACAGCGCCAGCCGAGGAAGCAACGGGAGTAGGACGCGCAACAACGATGGTAGTTGTGGCGGCGGCAGCGGCGTTGGCGGCGGCGTTGGCGGCGGCGTTTCCTTCCGCAGCGAAGCCGCGCGATCCCTATGACCCAGCCCGCACCGTCACCGGACCTTGGAAACTCTGCGGTGGTCGAGGCCTGGTTCGTGCTCGGTTGGGCGACGGCCAGAGCCTGTGGGCGGTTGTCGGCTCGGGGGGGGGGGGGGCTGTGGGGCGGCACGGAGGGGGCAGCGTCAGGAGAGGGCAGCGCTGTCCCTTCTCCCTGCCCTGGTGCACGCGTGTGTGTGTGTGGGGGGGGGGGGGGTTACTCCGGTTTCCTCCGTCGTTGAGCCAAACGAACATCCCATCGCGGGACCCTGATAGTCTTGAGGCTCGGTGAGGCTTTCCCCGTGCAATCGATGGATATTACGGCGTGTGCTTATAAGTACACACACACATGCAGCCCACCACAACAACGACGGCCGCGATTCGCGTCGACGTTACCACGGCGCTTGTGCCAGGCTAGGTGCGCTTCGACGCCACTTGAAGTGCTGAAGGCTGTCCCGCAGGAGATTACGGAACAAACGCAGGTACCATGTACATACGGACAGACAAGGAACGCACGCACGTCGTAGCTAGCGCCACGCACGCCAACGCGCCACTGAAGGCCGAGCCGACCAAGGGGAGGCTCGGGATGAGTTGAGATGCCGCTCGCCGCCGACGCTGTCCGTGGCCAGAAATTGAGCGCAGGTCGCTGGGCTCGGAACACGTTGACTTACTCCACTGCACCACCACTCCCTCCCCACCACACGCGCCGTGCGTGCTTATGGCGCCAGGCCACGCTGGTGGCGGGCTGGGACCGCCGGCTCGCCGCACCTGAGAACCTCGGAAGCCGGGGTCTCGACGGCGCCGGCCCGGTGCTCTGACCTCCGAGCCGGCCGGTGGCCGCCCCGCAGTGGGAAACGCCCGAGTTCATACCGCGGCTGGGGTCAGTGGAGTCGGCAGCGGCTCTCCCGCAAGAGCGAGGCGGCACCTCGGCCCCGCCGCGAGAAGGTGGAGTTTTCAAGAGTCGCCAGCGACGAGCGCCGGCGCCCCGCGTTTGCGCGTTTCGACAAGAGGGATGCTCGTTTGACTTTTTTTTTGTTCGCCAACGCGCGCGTTGGCATCGTAAGCATGGGCCCCCGGTGCGAGCCCACAGGACAGCGTGAAAATACTGCGGCAAAAAAAAAATCCGGCGTCATCACTCGCCGAGGGGCCAACCGTTTGTGGCGTGCACTGACGTTGACCCTGTCCGCCAGCGGGTACACGCGCTCGGCCGATGCTAAGGAGGCTATTTAAAGGAAATTGCCATTGTGGGTAAATTGGAAGCACGTGTGGTCCCGTGGCGAGTGCGATGGTCACCTTTGTGAAAATAAGCACGGCGTTCCCATGGTGCCATTTCATAACAATGGGGGAGTTTTTGCAGCCCCATGCCGGTCCGCTCATGGATGAATGCCTTCTCAAGGTGTGTCGGTCGTGTGGGTGTATTTGTCCATACTTCACCAATGTTTTAAGTTTCATAATATATTTTTTCCGCATTCATTTTTTTTGTTAACTGCATCTCGCTTGCAAGAGCCCTTGAGGCGGAATGACTCGCCTGCAAGGGTGTTAAAATTATCGCGGCGTTGCTGCTGCTCTGCGTGCTGCCCCGTGCTGATCACCGTCATGGCCGCCCGCCCCCCTCTCCCCAGGCTCCAGCTCGGCGTCTCTGTCGACGTCCGAGGACACCATGTCAAGCTCCCCCACGCCGTCGCCCACCTTCACGGGGCCTTCCCTCAAGCCGCCGCCCGGCGCGCGCCCCACGGCCGTGCAGGAATGAGGGGCCTTCTCGTGCCCCCCCCCCCCCCCCCCCTCGCGCGAGGGCCCGTCGCTTGCGGGGCCTCACGTTGCATGCTGCTGCTGCTGCTGTTTTTTGTGTGTGGGGGGGCCTTCACGCGGGACCTCGCTTTGGGCCTTCGCGCCATATCTTGACGGTGTCAACGTTAATGTGGGCCTTCCTCACGGCCCCGGTGCGGTGTTTTCCCCCTCCGGCTGATGCCGGCGGTCTCGTGGTCTGGGCCTTCACGTGATGTCTTTTCCTGGAGCTTCATAGGGAGCTTTCCCGCAGGACCTTCCTCTAGAACTAACCGTGTGTAAACCTTCATGCAGGGCCCTCGTCATCGGGGATCTTCACGGGGACCTGCGCCGTGAGCGATCGTAGTGGGCACGCCTTTGACCTCGCGGGGAGGCCCGGGTGGCACAGGCAGCCAGTGGAGGCATCGGGGAGGTCCTGGGCCCCAGACTCCCGCAGCGAGATTCGCTTCAGGATCTCCGGTGCAGCCGGCACGAAGGTCCCGGCACGGTCACCGATGAAGGCACTTAAAAAAAGACAAAGCCATTGTGCGGTTCTGGGTTCGCGCTTGAGTTTGGCCCGGCTGATATCCGGGGGATAATTTGTAAATATGGGACGTGACGATAATAGGCGCAGGGCAAACCACAAAGTTAGTCGCCACAGCTGGCATATGGGCGAGGTAGACTCTCCGGGGGATGACGGGCAGATTATTGTGATATCTCTCAAGAGTTTCAATACAAAATTAAACCACTCTCACCCTTAACCCCCTTTTCCACTGGCACTTTGGGAGCCGTGCCAAGCACAGGGAGGGTCCTCGCGGTACGATCGGTTGTGCACTGGGGCTATTACCGAGCTGAGCCGGAGCCAAACCCTGAAACTCTGACCTCGCAAGACATCCGAATCAGCTCGGAGCCAAGCAGGGCCAGGTTTGGGGTCAATCACTTCCATCGCGCGTCGTTCTCGGCGCACCGGCTAGCGGCGGCGCTCGTTCCCCGGCAGCCCCGGGGTGGGGGACTCGGCTTGTGCCGCCACCCTTCACGACAGCGCGGCACCGCTGGGAATGCCGGTGGCCAAGTCGAGAGCCAATTTTATATTTTTCAAACCTCCCCCCCCCCTTACCCACCCTCCCGCCAAAAACTTAGACTACAACACTTCATCGTGCACCAGTTATCGAGAGCCTGAGAGAGAACGTGATGTGGTCAGCAGCGGATGGATGTCCGATGGAGAGACTGCCCCCCCCCCCCCCGCCACGGGAATGTGGAGTTTCCACCATCGGCTCACGGTGGAGATTAGCGTCACCGCGGTGCTCGCTTGACTGTGACATCATCGCGTTGCGGACCGTGTGTGTGTGTACGTGTGTGTGCGTGTGTGTGCGTGTGTGTGTGTGCATGTGTGTGTGCGTGCGTGTGTGTGTGGATGCGTGTGTGTGCGTGTGTGTGTGTGCATGTGTATATGCGTGTGTGCGTTTGTGCGTGTGTGTGTGCGTGTGTGGATGTGTGTGTGTGCATGCATGTGTGTGCGTGTGTGTGTGCGTGTGTGCATGTGTGCGCGTGTGTGCGTGTGTGTGCATGTGTGCGTGCGTGTGTGTGCGTGTGTGCACGTGTGTGTGCATGTGTGCGTGTGTGCATGCGTGCGTGCGTGTGCGTGTGTGCACGTGTGTGTGCGCGTGTGTGCGTGTGTGTGCATGTGTGTGTGCACGTGTGTGTGCACGTGTGTGTGCGTGTGTGTGCATGTGTGCGTGTTCGTGCGTGCGTGTCTGAGGCTGTCTCGTGGATGTGCGCACGGATTGGGGCTGTCCCCGGCTGCAAGCGGCCGCTTGGCCCTCGCCTCCTTGAGACGCCTCCTCACCGCGTCGGTGAGACGGCGCCGATTGGTCGGAATTACCGAGAAGCGTGTGAACATCGCGCCGAGGTTCCCGTGATCCGAGCAAAATGTTCCTTCGCGGATTGATCTGGAAATCTCGTCTCCGCAAAGGGAAGCGATGGAAATTTCCGGTCGCGTCGCTTGTTTTACCCCCCCACCCCCCCCCCCCCCCCCCCCCGCCAAAAGTGCCGTCGCATAACGAAACCTTTGGATGGTGCGTGACGTTACTTGATGTAACATTGAAGTATAATAATGTCGACGTTAACAGTTGTACGTTTTGCCGATGGAACTGCATGTAAAGAAAATTGTACGGATATTTTAAATGGTTGAAACGATTACGCGGTTGGTGTGTACGCAATGAAAAGTCACTCACGTAGTATTACATTTACACCTGAAAATATTTAATAAAATTCAAAAAAAATTGGCCGTAAACATTACAACGACAACAACAACAACAAAATCTGACGCCCTGAAATGTGTGATCTGCCGCTGGGACGGAGCCTTCGTTTGTTCGGGACATTGCCGCGATGTCATTCAAATCCCCATGGGAACCTCTCGTCACACTGAACAGGGGCGGCGGCGCGGCTCGAACCCAGCAGCTGCCCCGGTGAACCCTGTCGTCAACGCAATCAAGAATATTGTCAGAGCGCCTGGCGAGCTTACAAGTCGGAAAGCTGTGGGTCAGGTGTCAACTCGGCCCATCGTCACGTTTGAAGGGTCAAATAAATGAAGCACCACTTTGTGGATGAGCAGAGATTAGGGGCCGTCCATAAATGACGTCACGCACCTTGGGGGCGGTCAGACATTTGTGACGATGTGTGACGAGTGAGGGGGGGGGGGTTTGAGAAATGTGACGTCACATCAAAATGCGCAACTTTAAATAAATATAGACAACACGTTCTACTTCATTAAAGATACTTTTTTTTAAATAAATGTTTTCTCCTACAACATCAGAGTGCAGCGCCACATTAAACACGCACTACAATGACAATAGTTTAAAGCGATTTGAAGCATGCTTTATTTTCAAAATAGAAATATGGTTTTCGGGGTGTGGGGGGGGGCAGAGCTTTGTGACGTCATATTTGAGGAGGGGGGGGGGGTCTGACTTTTTTGTGACGTCGTGTGACGAAGGGGTGGGGTCAAACATCGTCCAAAATCGCGTTAAGTCACTTATGGGACGGCCCCTTAGAGGGGCAACGGGTCGAGAGAGGGGGCAGTGGGAGGCCGGGGTATCTCCTCTCGGCCATCTCGCCATCCGCATTTCGCAACGGCGCTCCGAGCGAGTGCCGCTGCCGCGTTGGTACGCTGCGAGTTCAACTCCCGGCGGGGAAATGGACCGGGCTCGTGGTCTGTCCGAAGTGGCGACATCGATTGCCAGCTTGGACGAGGTCGACGCGGGTGGCTGTCACTTCGGCTTTGAGGGGGGAGCGGTGGCCCGGCGGTTAGCGCGAGCTTCGCTGTGAACCCGTTGGGCAGAGTTCGATAACCCGCTCACGGATGGCATCAATGGTGGTTGATGTCAGATCAGGTACATAACCAACCCTCCAGCGTGGTGAAGTATGGTCCGACAACCGCGTGACTCACGAGGCATAGGGGAGGCCTTCATTGGCAAAGGGTGTCGACGTTCATTAAACTTCAGTTTCATTTCAGTTTCATGCATTTCAGTTTCATAACCCTGTGAGCCATGCGGCTCTCGACTCGGGTACAACCGCAACAAGACAAAAACACGAACAAGAAACATCTTAAAGTGACTACGCGCAACAGAAAATCCAGGAATAAACAGCAAAGTCTTCCGGAAAAAAAAAACACCGTATTTCAACGCTGTGCGCAAAAATCCCAGTGGGATGCAAGTCAAACAATAACCATAATACAATGCAGATTAAAGTGATCAGGCTAACTCTGTACTACAACAAACAAACATGTCTAAACCAAAACTTAATGTGTGTACGTTGAACTTCTTTCACACCGTGCGTAGCCAACTGTTCTAATCGGAGGTGCGGGGGAAGGACATCAAACTAAAGACGAAAATCGTTTTTTGCCAGAGAGCCATGGGAATATGGAATTTCCACGTGCGCTATGCGAACACTTGCGCAGGGGTAGCGTGTGACTGAGTGAAGCAGTTCCTTTGTTTCTGAACTCGCCATTTACTGAGAGATTGAAAGTCTGATGTGCATACAGAGACAAAGGTCCCCCGTTTAGCCTGAACAGACTGCAGGGGCAAGTGCTGTTAGCGAGCACCTATGAAGGCCGGAACGGTACACGAGGGGGTGGGTTGCCAACACCACGCCCGGCCGCCTTTGTCTCCCCAGTGGCGATGTTTACACACCCACACCAGGTACTCACTTGAGGCTGAGTCGACCTAGGCGTGGCCCGGGACCGGTTCAGATAATCGTCACCGGTGTTGGCCGTGAGTGGGAATCGAACTCGGGTCGCCGGGTTCGTAGCGCTAACCGCGACATCAGCACACACATACCTTTTAAACAAAGGGCCACAAGTTAAAATATTGTATTATTTGTCTCATTTACTGTAATTTAATAATCAACCTACATACCACCCATGAAACAATAACGGTGTGTTTACTATTTATATATTTATATACGTGTGTGTGTGTACTGGCTGTAGCCCAATGAGCAGAGATATTGCGATTCTTCGTGATTAATTAACATTGCAGATAGTTTCGTGCCGGTAAAAGCACGAAGATGGAATGAGAGACGCCGAGATGGAACGATAGAAACGTGGCCAGCTAGCTCAAGGGGGGCTCGCAATGCCCTCATCAGAGAGAACCAACAGTGCTGAGAGACGAGGTTCAATTCCAGGTTCCAGCCGCCCAATTACTTAACCGAGATGCCCAAGTGTGGGGGTCTCGTGTTCTAGGCCTGGCTGCTCAGAAACTAATTTTGCTTCTGGCTACCCTAGTTCTGGGGGGGGGGGGGGGCAATAAAAAGGGGGAATAGGTAGAGATTGTGAAGTCTTGACACGTGGCCAACCACTCGCAGTGGGCGAAAGCAATTATCACTTACCTGGGAAGGAAATGCGGACTGAGTTTGAAGGCTTTTGCGGGAGGGTTCCTGCATCGGAATGTTGGGCCGACACCGATGGCATCGCTCGCGTCGAGCAGTGCGCGGACACCAGCGAAGCCGGAGGAATCCCGCGCAGGACAAAGAGGGAGAGAGAGAGATTACACAACGCCGCACGCAGAAAAGTGCTCGGGTTGAGGCATGGTACCAGGGGGTGCTCCTCGCTGTGAGGCCCGAGTTGCGGCCGTGAGCGAGCAGCGTCTGTGAGTGGTCCGAGTGAGCGTGGGCCAACGCGGTCATCTCCGGCCGCTCATCTGGCGGGATTTATTTTTTTCCTATTATTCTCCACACTCATGCCTGTCCCAGCAAACGCAGGACGTGCAGCGTGCTCTCAAACGCCTGGGCACTGGCACAAAGAAAAGAGCGTTGCCTGCAGCAGTTATCGATCGGCCACTTTAGTGCCAGTAAAAATACTGTACTATCCTGGAACGGTGACGGCGCGCAATGGAAACGGAATTTGCAGCCTTGGGATTTTTTTTTTAAAGTTCTCAACGTTTTCAGTTTCAGTTTATTTATTTTGGTATAGCCCTGTGAGCCATTCGGCTCTTGAATCGGGTGCAACCACAACAAACAAAAAAAGCAAAAACACGAACAAGAAAACATCTTAAAGTGACTACGTGACTGTGCAAACAGAAAATCCATTAAAAAAACAGCAAAATATTCCTGAAAAAAGCACCGTACACCAACGCTGTGTGCAAAAAATCCCAGTGGGATGCAAGTCAAACAACAACAACCACAAGACAACTTAGATTAAGGCCGTCAGTCTAACTCCGTACTACAACAAAACAAACATGTCCAAACCAAAAAACGTCTTCGAAATCACCAAAAAATAAAGCCATAATTGCAACGTAACAGTGATCATAGGGACTTTGACCGAAGTTTTACAATAAACTACATAAATAACATGTAACACCAAATCCTAGAGCCACAACAGGAGCATTAGTCGGAGTATCAAATTTTCAATGCACCTTTAAGATCAGCAGGCTAAATCAAAATACAGATAATACTTTGCAGCGTCATCCGGAGCGAAAAAATATATTTTATTTTACTCCAATGAATGGCAGTGGCAGCTAGGGGTGTACAACTCCTCTAGAGCAGTTTTGAGAGAAGATCACATTGGTAGCGATTCAAGTTGCAGTTTATTGGCAATATCATTCCAGACCCTGGGGGCATCAATAGCAAAGGCCCTTCAGTTTTTGTACGGCAATAGGGAATGTGAAGGTAAATGAGCGAAGACCTGAGGTCAAATTTGTTCTTTGAAACAGAGACAAATCGATGGCGGTTGCGCTTTTGTTCAAATTGGACGTTGCTGATGGAAGCGATACCCGTAGCGGTGGATGCTTCGTCGCCAGCCACGCACGCGTCGAAGTGGTGATTGGCAGTGTGGACTTAAAAGGCTGTAAAGTTGTAATCAAGGGTGGAGGAGCGCAGATGGTGGGTAATGAGTTCCAGAGTTCAGTAGCAAGAGCGCCACGTGT